CGAGACCAGCCTGGTCTACAAGAGCTAGTTCCAGGACAGCCTCCAAAGCCACAGAGAAACCCTGTCTCCAAAAACCAAAAATAAAATAAAATAAAAATAAAATAAAAAAGAAAACGAAGATCATTATATAATGATGAAAAGTTTCACTTCATCTGTTGATAATGCATTTTTCCAGTGCAGCACCACCCAACTACATAAAGCAAATGTTACTGTGTCTAAAGGGATTAGAGATAGGATATCACACAGTGATAGCTGGGTTGTCAGCATCCCAGGGGACAAATTACCCAGGATCAAACAATAAATAAAACACCAAAGTGTAGACCAAATAGATTGGTATACACAGAACATTCTGCCTGGCTCAAATCCTTTAAAGCTGAAAGAAAGGAATTCTTCCAAGCTCATTGTATGAGACCAGTATTCACAGCAAACCACAGACTGTACCTAATGAATGAATGAATGGGCGTGTGAAAATGTTAACAAGCTGGGCGGTGGTGGCACACACCTTTAATCCCAGCACTTGGGAGGCAGAGGTAGGCAGATCTCTGTGAGTTCGAGGCCAGTCTGGTCGACAGAGTGAGTTCCAGGACAGTCTCCAGAGCAATACAGAGAAACCCTGTCTCAGAAAACAAAAACAAAACAAAAAAAATGTTAACAAGGCAAGCCAGCTGAGAGACTTGCTTTTTTTTCTTTTTTGAGACAGGGTTTCTCTGTGGCTTTGGAGGCTGTCCTGGAACTAGCTTTGTAGACCAGGCTGGTCTTGAACTCACAGAGATCCGCATTCCTCTGCCTCCTGAGTGCTGGGATTAAAGGCGTACGCCACCAACGCCCAGTGGGGCTAGCTTTTTTATTTACTTTATTGTGTGTGTGTACCTGTACAGGTTTCCACAGAGGTCGGAGGTGGACATTGGATCCCTTGGTGTTAGAGTTACAGGTGTTTGTGAGCCACCCCAGTGTAAGTGCAGGGATATGAACTCTAGCCTTTCAATGGACAGTAAGCACTCTTTACCACTGAGCCACCTATCCAGCCCTCTTTTTTTTTTTTTTTTTTTTTTGAAATGGGTCTCTTACTACCCTGAATAGGACAGGATGGCTGGCCAGTGAGCTCCAGGGATCAGCCTGTCTCTGCCTCCCCAGCATTGGATTGCAAATGTACACCACCAGCTGAGATATCTGAAGTCCTAGCCAGCTGAGTTTTCTTTTTATTACATCCCAATCACAGTTTCCCTTCTCTCCATTCCTCCCAGGCCCCTGCTCCCCCCCTTCCCCAGATTCACTCCTTCTGTTTTCCCTTCAGAAAAGAGCAAGCCTCCCAGGGATATCGATCAAATATGGTATAACAAGTTACACTAAGACTAGGCATAAACCCTCATATCAAGGCTGGAAGAGGCAACCCAGGAGGAGGAAAAGGGTCCCAAGAACAGACAAAAGAGTCAGAGACCCCCCCCACTCCCACTGTTAAAGTCCTACAAGAAACACTGAGCCCTACCACCATTACATGTATACAGGAGACCTGGCTCAGATCCATACTGGCTCCATGATTGTCCATTCAGTCTCTGTAGGCCCCTGTGAGTCCTGCTTAGTTGATTCTGTGGACCATGTTCTCATGGTGTCCTAGACCAATGTGGCTCCTACAGTCCTTCCTCCCTGTCTTAGTTAGGGTTCTATTGCTGTGAAGACCATGACCACAGCAACTCTTATAAAGGAAAAACATGTAATTGGGGTGGATTACATTTTCAGAGGTTTAGTCCGTTATCATCATTGTGTGATACAGTGGCATGCAGACTGATAGTACTAATCTTGGCCTGCAGGCAACAGGAAGTGGTCTGGGATACTGGGTGTGGCTTAAGTTTAGGAGACTTCAAAGCCTAACCTCCAACAAGGCCACACCCACTCCAGCAAAGCCACACCTTTTTTTTTGTTTGTTTTACGAGACAAGATTTCTGTGTATTGTTTTGGAGGCTGTCGGTCAAGCCTGATTTCGAACTCACAGAGATCCGCCTGCCTCTGCCTCCCGGGTACTGGGATTAAAGGCGCGTGCCACCACCGCCCGGCTAAAGCCACACCTTCTGCTAATAGTGCCCCTCCTTATGAGTTTATGGAGGCCAACTACTTTTAAACTACTACATTCCCTTCTTCCATGGGGTTCCCAGGCTCCACCTAGTGTTTGGCTCTAGGTCTCTGCATCTGTTTCCAACTGTTGCTGGATGAAGCCTCTTTGATGACAGGCTAGGCTCTCATCTATGATTTTATGATTATAATAGAGTATCATTAGGAGTCATTTTACTGGCTTTTTTTTTTTTTGCCAGTCATGTTTGGCTCTATCCTGGGTCTCTGGGTCATCCAGCCTCTGGGTCCTGGCCCTCTAGGCAGTGTCAGGCGTGGACTCCCTCTCATGATATTAGTCTCAAGTTGTTTGGCCACTCCCATAAGTTCTGTGCCACTATTGATTGCCCCAGCACATTTTGTAGGCAGAACAAATTATAACTCAAAGGTTTTGTGACTAGATTGGTGTCCCAGTCCCACCGCTGGTAGCTTTTCCTGGTTACAGAAGATGGCTCATTCAGGCTCCATATACCCTATTACTAGGAGTCGTCATCAGAGTCACCCTCATGGGTTCCAAGGAGTTCCATTGCACTAGCATTCTACAGTACCCTCAAATCCCCCCAATTCCATTCACATCTCCCAGAACTTTTTCCCTCCATTTACCCATCCCTCTTGTTCCCATCCCCACCCGCTCCACTCCACCCATAAAATCTCTGTTATCCCCCTTCCCAGGGAGATCCATGAATTCCCCCAGCCCTCCTTTTTCCTTAGCCTCTCTGGGTCTGTGGTAGCATGGTTATCATTTACTTTATAGCTAGTAAACACTTATAAGTGAATACACATCATGTTTGTCTTTCTGGATCTAGGCTATCTCATTTAGGATGATTTTTTTTCTAGTTCCATCCGTTCGTCTGCCAGTTTCATGATGTCATTTTTTTTTTAGCAGCTAAGTAATACTCTATTGGGTAAATGCATCACATTTTCTTTATCCATTCTTCAATTGAGGGACATCTAGATTGTTTCCAGGTTATGACTATTACAAATAAAGATGCTATAAATGTTGTTGAGCAAGTGTCCTTGTGGTACATGCCCAAGAGTCATCCAGCTGGGTCTTGGGGTAGATAGAGCTTAATTTCCTGAGGAACTTCTACACCGATTTACGTAGTGGCTGTACAAGTTTGCACTCCCACCACCAATGGAGGAGTGTTCCCCTTGCTCCATATCCTCACCAGCACTTGGGTTTTTTATCTTAGCCATTTTGACAGTTGTAAGATGGAATCTCAGAATAGTTTTGGTTTGCATTTCCCCGATGGTTAGGGGTGTTGCACATTAAGTGCTTCTTAGTCATTTGAGATTCCTGTGTTGACAATTCTCTATTTAGATCTATACCCCATTTTTAATGGGATTATTTGGTTTGTTGATATCTAGTTTGTTGAGTTCTTTATATATTTTGGATAGTAGCCCTCTGTTAGATGTGGAGTTTCCCATTCTATAGGCTGTTGTTTTGTCCTGTTGACAGTATCCTTAGCCTTACAGAAGCTTTTCAGTTTCTTGAAGTTCCATTTACTAATTGTTGATCTTAGTTGTTGAACAGACTTATTGATAGTCTGTTCAGGAAATTGTCTCCTTTGCCAGTGCATTCAAGGCTATTCCCCAGTTTCTACTATATCAGTTTCAGAGTATTTGGTTTTATATTGCAGTCTTTGATCCACTTAGACTTGAGTTTTGTGCAGGGTGATAAGTTCTACATGCAGACATCCAGTTTGACCAGCACCATTTATTGAATGTAAAGAGAAGCCTTCCCACCAGCCTGGTTCCAGAGACGCATCAGTCCCAAATAAACACACAGGAGACTATATTAATTATGAAGCTGTTGGCCTTGCTTGTTTCTTACTGGCTAGCTCTGACTTGAGTATTTATCTCATAACTGTTAATCTACCAGAGAAGTTTCTGGGCTTCTTATCCCTATGGAGGTTACATCTTGACTCCCTGTCTTTCTCCTACCCAGAGTCCTCCTGGACTCCTAGCCCCACCTACCTTGCTTCCCTATTGGCCAACAGTACTTTATTGACATATACACAGGACTTCCCCAACAATTTGAAGATGCTTTCTTTTTTCCATTGTATATTTCTGGCTTCTTTATAAAAAAAAAAAAATCAGGTGTCCATAGATGTGTGGATTTAGTCTTAGTCTTTTATTCAATTCCATTGATCAATGTATTGATTTATGCCAGTACCATGTGGTTTTTATTACGATAGCTGTGTAGTAGAGCTTGAAATAAAGGATAGTGATACCTCTGAAAATTCTTTTATTGTACAAGATTGTTTTAGCTATCCTGGGTTTTTTATTTTCATATGAAGTTGAGTATTATCCTTCCAAGGTCTATAAAGAATTGTGTTGGAATTTTGGTGGGGATTTCATTGAATTGGTTGCTTTTGGTAAGATTGCCATTTTTACTGTATTAATCATGCCTATCTATGATCATGGGAGATCTTTCCATCTTCTGATAGCTCCTTAAAAGAATTGAGGGGGGGCACGGGAGGAAGGGAGGGAATGGGAGAGGGACCTGGAACTGACTTGTGAAGCAACCTTGTTTCTTATCTAAATTTAAACTGGAAATAAAATTAAATGTGTTTTTACCTCTAAAAAAAAAAAGAATTGAAGTTTTTGTTGTACAAGTCTTTCACTTGCCTGGTTAGAGTAACCCCAAGATATTTTATGTTATTTGTGGCTATTGTGAAGGGTATTGTTTCCCTGATTTCTTTCTCAGCCCATTTGTTATGTCCCCTTTTTGTTTTGATTTTGTTTATTAATCAAAAGAGATGGGAAAGGAGACTTCATACTCAAAGGAAAAATCCATGAAGATGATCTTTCAGTTCATAACATCTGTGGCCCAAACACATGGGCACGTCTCAATACATATAAGAAGATTAAAGTAACTCCCTGTATCCTTTCAGACCACCACAGATTAAAGCTGGATTGCAACAACACAAAGTCTACTGAACAACTCTCTAGTAAGTAAAAACCTGGGTTAAGACAGAAATAAAGAATTAAAGACTTCCTAGAAGTCAATGAAAATGGATGCACAACACACCCCAGCTTATGGGGCACAATGAAAGTGGTGCTGAGAGGAAGTTGATAGCACTAAGTGCCTGCGTAAGTAAGGTGGAGAGATCTCACACTAGCACATCTCTTGATTAATTTTGATTTGAAGCCTATTTTGTTAGATATCAGAATGGCTGCAGCAGCTTGTTTCTTTCTTAGGTCCATTTGCTTGGAAAGTCTTTTTTCCAACCCTTTACTCTGAGGAATGTCTGTCTTTGATATTGAGGTGTGTTTCTTATATGCAGTGAAAGGATTATAATGTTTTCATATCTATTCTGTTAGTCTGTGTCTTTTTATTGGGGAATTGAGTCCATTGATATTGAGAGATATCAATGACCAATGATTGTTAATTCCTATAATTTTGGTGATGGTGATGGTGGTGGTGATGGGTGTTTTTCACTTTTGGTTTTGCTGGTGTAAGATTATTTATTTCCTGTGTTTTGTGGGTATAGTCAACCTCCTCAGGTTGGAGTTTTCTTTCTAGTATGTTCTGTAGGGCTGGATTTGTAGATAGATATTGTTTGAATTTTACTTTATCATCTATGGTGATTGAAAGTTTTGCTGTGTATAGTAGTCTAAGTTTGCATTCATGGTCTGTTAGAGTCTACAGGCCCTTCTGGCTTTTAGAGTCTCCATTGGGAAGTTGCATGTAATTCTAATAGGTCTACCCTTACATGTTACTTGCTCTTTTCCTTATAGCTTTGACTATTCTTTCTTTGTTCTATGTGTTTAATGTTTTGATTACTTATGAAGACAGGAGACTTTCTTTTCCAGTCCACTCTATTTGGTGTTCTATATGCTTCTTGTATCTTTATAGGCATCTCCTTTTTTAGGTTAGGAAAATTTTCTTCTATGATCTTCTTGAAAATGTTTTGTTGGCTTTTGAGCTGGGATTCTTATCCTTCCTCTATTTCTATTATTCTTAGATTTTTGTCTTTTCATAGTGTCTCAGGTTTCCTGGATGTTTTGTGTCAAGAATTCTTTTAAACATTTTAAAAATTATTTTTGCATTTCAATTCCAGTTCCCCCCATCTCCTCTTTTCAATGCTTAATTCTCTTTTCCATGCCTTGTATTCTGTTGGTGATGCTTGCGTCTATAGTTCCTGTTCACTTACCTAGATTTTTCCATTTCCAGAATTCCTGCAGTTCATGTTTTCTTATTTCCATTTTCAGGTCTTGAGCAGTCTTATTTGTTTCCTTCAACTGTTTGTTTTTTCTTGCCTTTCTTTATAAAAATGTATTCATTTCCTTTAATTTATTGTTTGTCTTTTCCTTGATTTCTTTAAGGGACTTACTCGGTTCTTCTTTAAGGACCTCTGTCATCTTTATAAGGTTGGCTTACAGGTCTTTTTCTTGTGCTTCAGCTGTGTCAAAATGTTCAGGGCCTGCTGTGGTAGGATAGCTGGGCATTAGTGGAGATGTATTGTCTTGGCTGTTATTGATTTGTATTCTTATAAATCTGGTGTCTGGACGTCTGGGTTTGGGGTGATTATAGATCTAGGTATCGATATCTGAGTTTGTTTTTGTTGGACAGGTGATTTGTTCCTTTGTTTCTGTTTCCTCTCCGGTCTTCTGGTCTGTGTGGTCTAGAGTTCTGGTCCAGCAGGGAGTCTCTACATGTTTGCCTACCTGTACTTTTGGCTGTGTGACCTGAACTTGAGCAGGGAATGTCCACCTGCACTTGAGTAGAGACATAGCAGTAGGGGCAGAGCGAAGTGGATTGGATCTTTGGGAACTGAACTGAGGGAGTGGGATATTTCTGTAGGTAGTCAGCTTACCTGTTCGTCAGTTGCTGATTTTTAATGGAAGCACCAAAAATGTGCACTGGAAAAATGACAATCTCTTTAGGTAAATAGGACTTGGAAAATTGGACATCTCTATACAGAGAATAAAACTAAGTACTGTGTCTCTTGTCATGTATTAGTCAGAAAATTAATGTATAAAAGAAAGGGGTGCCAGTCCTAGGTCAGACACCAGTTGTTGGGGCTTGAGGAGTGCCTGGTGGAAGTGATGGAGAGCATGTAGCAAAGCAAAGGAAGAGGCTGGGGTTCCACAGTCCTGCCCTGGGGCGCGCCCCGTGGTGACCTAAGGGTCTCCCACTGGGTCCTAGCTCCTAAAGGTTCCAATACCTCCAGTAATAGCACTCTGAAGACAAAGTCTTTAGTGAGATGCATGTGAAATCTGTACATCTTTTGTTGTTTTTTATGAATTATTATCTCGTGTATATGGGTGTTTTCCTGAATGTGTGCCTGGGCACCATGTGCATGCGTGCCCGTGGGGGGCAGAACATCTTCTGGGACACCGGGTCCCGAAACTGGAGTTACAAATGTTTGTGAGCCATCTTGTGAGTTCTGGGAACCAATGAGACATTGACAGACCAAGAAGAGGGGGGACGTTGAAGAGGTGGCGCTTGGTGAACAACAGGGTAGCTGATTGATGATAGTCTATTTTGAAATAGCTAGTAGAAAAGTCTTTGAATGCCGGGCAGTGGTGGTGCACACCTTTAATCCCAGCACTCGGGAGGCAGAGGCAGGCGGATCTCTGTGAGTTTGAGGCCAGGCTGGACCGACAGCCTCCAAAACAATACAGAGAAACCCTGTCTCGTAAAACCAAAAAAAAAAGAAAAAGAAAAAGAAAAAGAAAAGTCTCTGAATATTTTCCAATGCAAAGAAATGATGACTGTTTAAGCTGGTGGATGTGCTGACTACCCTGATCTGATCATGGCTTCATGTGTGAATGTTTGAAATGTCACACTGTGCCCACAGATAAACACAGTTGCTGATTCAAAATGAGGACATGTATGAGAAATTTGTGTGGGTATGGTACTGGGGATCTAGGCAAGTGCTCTACCGCCGAGCTCCGCCCTAGTCTACAAATGTCCCCCTAAGTCAGCGGTTCTCAGACTTCCTAACATGCTAGGCAAGTGCTCTACCACTGAGCTACACCCTAGTCTACAGACCCACGGTTGAGAACCATTGCTGTAAGCAGTTTTAACTGCAATTACAAATATCTTTATGTTGCATTTTCATCTTTATTCGGTTTAGAATTTTTCTGATTTCTCTCCAGACATCCCCCCCCCCGATTTTGTATTCAAATATTTGGAGATTTGCTTTTTTGTTGCTGATTTCCAGTTAAGTTCAATGTTCAAAGAATAGACTTTTTATAATTTTGATTGTTTGAAATTTGCTAAGGATTATTCTGTGACCCAGGATAAGGACTGCCTTAGTCATGTTCTACATGCATTGAGCTGTTGGATGAAATTGTATGTGTATACCTTGTCAGGGGGATGGATAAGCTGACTCAGCTCTCCATGTGCTTGCAATAGCATTTTTAATAGTTTTATTAAATTTATTTTGTGTATATGCACATGTGCATTATGTCACAATGCATGTGGAGGTCAGAGGGCAACTTTGTGAAGTTGCTTAGCTTCTATCATATGGTGTCTTAGTTAAGGCTTTTATTGCTATGTATTATAATAATATGTAATTGGCCTTAATTAGGTCTATTTTTTTACTTTTCCTCCTTTAGATTTTGTTCCCTTCTTCCTTTCCTACCTTTTGTTATTTTATTTATTTGTTTATTATTATTTTTTATAATGTATATGTGTGTTTTGTCTCTTTTATGTCTGTGTACTTTGTGGTACCCTTCAAGGCCAGAAGAGGGCATCATATCCCTTGGAACTAGAGTTGCAAATGGCTGTCAGCTGCCATGTTAGGTTCTGGGAATCGAACTCAGGGCTCTACAAGAGCAGCCAGTGCTCATTACTGCTGAGCCATCTCTCCTGTACCATCTTTTTTTTTTTTTTTTAAGATTTTGATAGTCTCCGGTATTCTAATTTTTGTTTGTTTGTCTGTTTGTTTTTCTGAGACAGGGTCTCTCTCCATAGCTCTGGCTGTCTTGAAACTCATGCTGGCCTCAAACTCATAAAGATTCATCTGCCTCTGCCTCCCGAGCACTGGGATTAAAGGGGTGGGCCACCGTGCCTAGGTAGGTATTCTAATTTTTTATTTTGTTTTTGGCTGTGTTTTTAATTAATATATACCTAGTTAATATTTTTATTAGAATATATTAATTATGCATAGTAGTAGGTTTCATTATGACATTCTCATACATATCCATAATGTGTTTTGAAATATTCAGCCCCCATTACTCTCTCTTGTCTTGCTTACCCCACTGATCACTTTCTTCTTTCCACCTAGCCTTCCTTCTTGTGTGTGTATGTGTGTGGGGGTGAGCATGAGTGAGGGATTATTTATAGGGTATGTGTATGTGTGTGTGTGCGTGTGTGAGCATGAGTGAGGGATTATTTACAGGGTCGTGTGTGTGTGAGTGTGTGTGTGTGTGTGAGCATGAGTGAGGGATTATTTACAGGATCATGTGTATGTGTGAGCATGGGTGAGGGATTATTTATAGGGGTATATGTGTGTGTGTGTGGGTGAGGGATTATTTACAGGATCGTGGGTACCTTACCAGTGGTTATTCTAGTAATGAAAAGTTTCCCTCCCTCCCCCAGTAATTTTAAACTGCTTCAGAAAGAGGTAGACCCTCATGACTTCCTTCTCTCTTCTGTGACAAGATGCTGATGGGCCCAATGTTGTGCAGATAATCACAGCTGCAATAAGTTCAAGAGTGTCACGGCCAGAAGATAGCATTCTATGACACTGCCTCATCCTTCAACTCTTAGACTTTTTCTGTCCTCTCTGTGTGAGTTCCCTGAATCTTGGAGGGCCTGAGATCGCCTCTTTAGGGCTGAGCATTCAACAGTCATTGCTCTCGTCACTTGGACCGGTTATGATGAGCCTCTGCAGTTATTGCTGACACTCGGAAGAGAAGCTTCTGTGACTAAAGCTGACAGCAGTGCTGATGTACACATAGTTATTTAGAATGCAATGTGATAGCCACATCATGT